AATTCAAACACCCTGCAACATTACACGTTGAGGACAATTTTCTATCTTAACATAAAATACCAATAAAACACATAATACCAATAAAACACAGTTAGAATTACGTTTATATATATAAAAAATTAAAAGCAGGTGTAAAGGACCGAAGTCTGGAGTTGAACGTAAATCCTGAATACCGATTAATTTAGTTTTGGGCCTGGGCCTGGCGTTTGTTTCAACGCATGCGCGTTAGTAACTGTAAAAATGCCTGTATTTTTCCGCCAGTAGGGGGCAGTGGTGCTTCGAGCTGCCGTGTTTACCTTCACGGAGGAAACTAGTGAAGAAGACAAAGCGACACTACAGAGAAGACCGTTAGCTATAAGCTAGTACATAAACGCAACATATCAAAATGTCTCACTAACAAAAGAAGCAGCCGTGAGATAAATTCTTATGCAGCGGAGGAAAGGAGAGGCTTTAATAAACATCTCCTGACAGAGCCCAACTCTTACCCGATAGCATGGAGAAGCAGCTGCATTTGAACCTGCTAGCCTCCAGACCTCCCATGGCAGGTGGTTTTCAGTCCAGCTCCAAAATGAAAATGGGGTGAGTTATCCAACATCTTACTGGCTGGGTCCCAACTGTGTCAGGTGCCTGATGTCTGATTAAAATTGTACCCATCATCACAACAGCCGGTCTTGCTCAAACACTGTTTTGGCTTGTGTTAGCTTTAGCCGAGCTAAATTAGCTGCAGAGTTTAGTCCATACATAGTTGTTGTAAAATGGGATTTGTGTGGCTAAATGGTTTTAACGTGTTTGTTTTTAACATATTTCTCATGTGTGGCCTAAAATGGTGATAGTTAGGTTACAGTAAGTGAAACAGAAAACACTATTATATAGTACATCTAAAAGATATCATCATCCCAGTCCCAAAAAGCTCTACAGTGACTGGTCTGAATGACTATCGGCCAGTGGCCCTCACCCCGATAGTCGCTAAATGCTTCGAAAAACTGGTCATGACTCACATCAAAACAACCATCAACATCAACGAGGACCCTCATCAGTATGCATACCGTGAGAACCGATCAACAGAGGATGCAATCTCCTCTGTGGTCCACACTGCACTCAACCACCTGGAGCAGAAAAACTCTTACGTCCGTATGCTCTTTGTGGACTTCACATCTGCCTTCAACACCATGATCCCCCAAACCCTGATGGACAAACTATCCACACTAGGACTAAGCCCCTCCATCTGCAACTGGGTACTAGACTTTTTAACAAACAGACCACAGTTAGTGAGGATCCACAACCTCTCCTCCTCCACCATAACCCTCAGCACTGGCTCTCCTCAGGGATGTGTGTTGAGCCCCCTTCTGTTTACTCTGCTCACATGTGATTGTGCAGCTACCCATCCAGGCTGTCACATTGTAAAGTTTGCAGATGATACAGCGGTGGTGGGATGCATCACAAACAATGATGAGTCCAGCTACAGGCAAGAGGTGGAACACCTGGAGAGCTGGTGCAAAGAGAATAACCTTCACATCAATGTGAAGAAGACAAAGGAGATGATTGTGGACTTCAGAAGGAACAAAAACACCTACACCCCCCTGAACATAAGAGGATCTGCGGTGGAAGTGGTCTCCAGCTACAAGTACTTGGGTGTACACATGAATGACAACCTCAGCTGGAGCAACAACACCACCAGCCTGATCAAGAAAGCTCATCAGAGACTCTACTTCCTCAG